AATCAAAAATTAGAAAATTAAAAAAATATTTAAGTTAGATTATTATTATTATTATTATTGGTATTAAGGTGACCTTTTTTGAAGTAACAGCCTAGGGCTTCATCAACAAAGTAGCAGCCTACTATATAACTTACTCCCTTCACCAAGATTTTTCATACAAGAGCATCAGGATAGCAAGCTCCTGCCAGTTATCTTGTATAATAATACTTTTGGCTTGTATGCTGAACGTCTTTTTAGAGAAGTTCCTTAGAAAAGCAGTTGACATCTAAACAAACCACACCATAGAGCCACATCTCTCAAATAAAATTTGGTTTTCATTAGTTGAAATTTTAATACAAGTGATTATTGGGAGAGCTTTTTTGGATAAAAAGTATTAATTACAATTGTTATCATATAAATAAGCTTATAACTTAAAAAATAAGATATATAAATCAAATGATTTCAAAATAAATATATTACTAATTTAATTTGAAATCAAAAATTTGAACTTTAATTTTAAATTACTCTAATAAAATTATTGAACAATTAAACATATGTCCAATTAATTTGATAATTTATTGACATTGTTCAATGTCTAATGTTTCAAAAAATAATTAAAATTAATTAGACAAATTGGACAAATATCCAATATCCAAATGTTCAAAAGTTCAATTAAATTTATTTGGATATTGTCCAATACCAACACTGTAGTTAAGTAATAGAAATTGATTTATTAAGTTGTATATAACCTAATATACAGTAATTAATATTATAAATTGAACTTATAAAACTATAACTATATAATAAAAAAATTTAGATATATCATATAAAAATTTTTTGCTACTACTACTGTTTGTATAACAATAAAATATAGCATATTTTTTTATACAGTACAGGACAGTAAAAGACATCCAATTTATACATATAGATGCCAATTTTTGGTGCTTACATAATCAATTCTGATTGACTAATTTTTGTATAATTGATTTTGATTGGTTAAAAATCTATATATATTTTCTTTTTTTCTATATTAAACACCAATTTTTTGAACTCATATAAACTTTAACCCCTTATAACTTTTTTAAAACAAAGAATAAAAAAAATCCTCTAACAGAAATGTAGTTTAGCTAAAAATCTATCAATTTGTCAAAGAATTTTTTGATTTAATTTTTTTTAAAAAAGTTATAACAATTTAAAGTTTTACTAATTAAGAGTGGATGTCTTTTATTGTCCGGTACTGTACTAATATCTATAATCTATAACTATATAATAAAAATATTTGTGTGTGTAACAATAATATTTAGATTACTAATATAAATAATTCAATTAAATTATATAATATTAAATCTGCTATTCTGATTTGTCAATACAAAAGTTATTAAGTAAAGATATCTTTAAGCTCTAAGTATAGTTGTAGAGAGGATAATTTTGAGTTAAATGGTAGTTAGATCATTAAAATTGGCCTAGTGGTTCATAAGATATCTTGGGTTAAAGGTGCAAATATAAGGATCGGCAAAGTCACTATTATTGATTTTTTTTAGATTTTTAATCCCACATATCTCAATAACTACTGGCCCGAGTTTGATGATCTAACCACCATTTGACTCAGAATTATCCCCTCTACAACTTTACTTAGAGCCTGAAGATATCTTTACATAATAACTTCTCGCATAAACTTAAAGAAACTATAATTGGATCTACTTTGAGATCAAAATATACAAAAAGTAGTTTTTTGTAATTATCTTGACACTAGCAGTCCAATCTGGATGAATTTTTTTTTAAATAAAAGCCCTTAGTGAGGTATATCCAATAAAAAAGAGTTTATTTAATTCTAATTACTAAATTCTAAAATATTTAAGAAACAATAAATTTTTGTTTTAATAAATTAAATTAAAATTAAACAAAACCAAATTATAATCTATATTAGAGATAAAATTAATTTGTTTTAGATTTAAATTTTTATTTTATTTTATATTAAATCTTTTTTATGCATTGCATGGGTTTATAGCTTAATAATTATAAAAGTTTTACTATATATTTATTTTATTTTAAAATTATATTTAAAAATTTATAAGTTTATTCCTATACATTATTGCACGGGTTACAACTAGTATATATACATATAAATTTTTAATTTGTCAATTATATAATTATATATACATACTGTTTTTCGTTAAACATAATAAATATAATAATTAATTCAACTTGAATAACTATATCTGGTTTAGAAAACCAGTTAGCAAGCTTAATAATAGCTTTTGAAGGGTTGGAAAGATCCTTTTCTTTTTGATAAAACATAATAAAATATTTTAGATATAGCTTCATCCAAATAATAAATCAAAACCAAGAAAACCAACAAGTTTTTACAAAGCATAGAGATAATATTAATCAAATATTTTTATTATTTAATGCAAAAGTTGATTTAATGACAGTAACAATATCATCTATAATTTGAAAATTTTCATATTTAAGCCAAGTGTTTTCAGCCAAATTATAAATATATACAAAGCAGGTGTTATGTCGCTTTCATAAAATTAATGGTGACAAAATATTTGAAAACAATTTTTTTATATAAGCTGCATTGTCACTAATATATAATATAATATTATGCAATAATATGAAATTGTAGAAATAACTAATTGTAATATAAGGTAGATATGCCTAATTTGGCGCAGTTAAGTTCTATGATGCATATCACGTGCCATGTTGATCAGAATTAGTGATTTTGGTACCATTTGATTTGTCACATCGAGACGAATCGAATGGCACCAAAATCACCTAATTTCGATCATTCAATCACGAGATATCACTTTTAAAAGTTTATCTAAAAACACAGTCTTATTTTAGCACAGTGTTTAATTTGGTGCATTAAAGATTTCTAATAATATTTTGTGAACTATTAGTTAGAATCATATGATTTTGGTACCATTCGATTCATCTCAATAAGACGAATCAAATGGTACTAAAATCACATGATTTCGATTAACAGTTCGTATGATATTGTTAGTGCACCGAATTAGACACTGTACCAATTAGACTTATCTACCTTAGGCGGCATCCATAATTTACGTTAAACTAGTACTGTATTGTATAGAAATAGATAATACCATTCGGTATTATTTTTGTATTATCTTTAAGATTTCCATTACAATACTGGTTTAACGTAAATTATGAACACCGCTTTATATTGGTTAAATGATAATATTTTACGATCTATTAATCAGAATCATGTGATTTTGGTACTATTTGATTCGTCTCAATGAGGCGAATCGAATAGTACCAAAATCACATGATTCTGATCGACAGTTGTTAGTATGCCGAATTAGGCACCATGCCAAATTAGGCATATCTATCTTAGTAGTTGAATTAACTTTAGTAAGAAATTCTGTTTTTACTAGTTTTGTCAATTTTTCAAAACTAAAAAGTATATTAATGACACTTCTTCTATATTTGTCTGTTGTTTTATCTACTGTAATGCAAATTTTTTTGTCTTGAAGTAAAATATGTAATTTTTCTAATTTGATATCATAAACAAAAAAAAGATATCATTTACAAAGTTGACTAGTATCTATAACTGAACCACCTAATAAACTAAATTATTAGTATATTTAATATTAAAGTAAAAATAGTAAGTATACCATTTATACAATGTTTTTGAAAAACAGCTTTAGTTTTTTAATTTTTTTTAAAGAAACATCTGTTTTAGTAAAAGCTTTAATAATATTGATATTTATTTTTTGATATCAGTTATTTGAGATTGTAGCTCAGTTAAATTTTGGGTTGATACAATTTCATTGATTTCACTTAATTCAGCAATTTTTTTTTCTTTTCATGTTTATTAGTTTTTAAATATGAATCTAAATTATGTTTTTTTTGGTGATTAACTTGACATTTACAAAAGAAACAATAAATTTTTCCTTTGCTTTTATAAAAATCATCCTTGTATATAAAGTATCTATTTAAAAGTGAAGTAATTCATAGTATTTTTTTAAAAAAACCTATTCACTTGACTCTAGAAGAATTATTTAAATTTATTCTTTACTATTACTATTATTACAAATTGTAATTGTTCATCAATCAACAGTACAATAAAATCACAACTCTTTCCAATGATCATCTGGACCATATTTTTCCAAAAAACTTTTTGACTAAAAAACAGTAACATACTGCAAGAAAAAAGTAAGATGTGGGAAAAGGGCGTAAGAAGAACTGCACTTGTCATTTAAAGGTAGTTCTTATATGCTACCTGCCAACAAGCTTAGAGTTTATCACTTACAGCAGCATGGCACTTGTTGTTTAGAGATAGTTCTCATACGCTATTTGCTGACAAGCCCAGAGTTTATCACTTACCGAAAAAACTTAGTACTATGCAAACTTGTAGAACACCTGTTGATGTCTTTAGAACTTACACTCTTTTGAATATATGCTAGTGGTCTTTTTAGTGTTTTTCGCTTTTTGCCATTCTTACCAAAAATTTCGACAAAAAAAGTGGGCATTTTAGCGTACCCCCTTCAAGAGATCGGCATTGTTTACACCTACCTAATTCGGATGACTCAGTAGAATATAACCACGTGTTTGTTTTGTTTATCGATACAGTGCTACAGTATGAAAAAAAGATCACTACCCCTGTTTAGGAGATATCTGAGTCGAGTCAGTGTCCAGAACAAGTCCCAAAGCTAAACCGAAGGCTTACAATCGAGATATAGTAATTAGTTGCAATTATTATACCATAATAGTGGGCATGGGTGTTATTTCGAATCTTGGCCTGAATTAATCTTAATTCGAGCTGAAAATTGTACTTTGACTCCTGCACGTTATTTCGAGATTTTACGGTATAATTTTTATCTTTATGCCTGGTATGGACTATAATAGTGTGTCATGGCTACTTTCTTTTTTTTCACTTTTTTTATCTTTGTTCATTTATATTAGACTATTTTAGAAATTTTAGTTTGGTTTTTGTTTTTTTTATCACCGTGAGGCATTTTTTTTC